GGTTTTAAAAGTACAAATTAATCAGAACAATAAAAACTCTCTAGGGAAAATCAGTAACATTTTAAGTTAGACACTGCTTAAAATACAACATTGCAGAGTAATAGATGGCATGGCTTTGTGAAAAAGAGAAAGACCTCGCCTTACTACTTACGATGGAAATACCTACAAAATTCTTTTTAATGGGCTATAAAAATAGATGTTCAAATGTAGCTGCCTTGAACAATTTCTTTATGTGTTTATAGCTTTAACCCAGGGCCTCATCCTAAGAATTTTTGCTACTGATAATGAAGCTGTATTTTTTAAAAAATGAAAATGGTATGTACCTCTGATCTTTTAGGATGACAGTCTAATTAAGATTAGCAACTAGAGAGAAAGAAAACCCAAGCTAAACATTTCTATACTTTAGTAAATTCTACCCTCTATGGTCCTAATAGCAAGAGCATGGCCACTCTGAGCAGTGCTGCAAGGCAGTTGCTCACACACACACTACTTAGCCATGAATGGGTGGCTTGAAGCTACCAGGAAGGTAGGTTTAAATTGGCAACATCATTTTCCTGATTCTACCCTGTGACTAAAGCATCCTGCTTTAGGATTTGGGTCAGTCAATCAGCAGGTATTTATCTGGTGCTTACTTTGTGCCTGGGACGCTGTTAACTCAGCAGAAAAACGTAAGCAAAGACAAAAAGTTAGAGGCAAAAGAAAAAAGGCCAAAATAACAAAAACTTAGATTACAAAACACTGAAGGCAGTGTTAGTACTGCTGCAAGGAGAAAGAGATAATTATATGTTCACAGATACAAGAAGTGAAGAATTACTTCCACCTAAAGTCTTTTGATTTAAATCAGATATACCTGATAAACATATGCGAAGTGCACTGGATACATATTTTTAAAACACATGTTTTAGTTGTTATTCCCCAGTGAGAAGTATAGGTGCAGCATAGCCTTTTATTATGATAATAGGCAATTACACGCATTACCCTTCCCTAAAAGTTCTCACTCCACTCAAACAGTTATTTGACAACGTTTATTAGCTCAAATATGAGGTACAGACAAGCATTATCAGATAGTCCCTAGAACTGTAACTGATTCCTAAATCACTCTACTGAAAAGAAAAAGGTGGTATCCAGGCCTGATAGTCAGTCACTGTGAGGGGCTGACATTTACCATTTTATCAGAGAGGATCTCACCTGCTATTGCAGCTACTTTCACATCCTTGACCTTCAAATCTTCTCTGGCCTTGCATCCCTATTGCTGGGCCAGGAGAGACCAGATCAGACCATGTGCACACATCTGCAGGAATATCACAGCCTTGAATATTTTATTTTATATGTAGGCCCAGTCCTCATAGCCATGAACCCTTGACGTGTAAAACTGCTATGATTTTGTACCAACAGGTATCTCAGCTAAGATGAGGTACCTTGCTGAGATGAGGCAGCAACTTACCACGTTGTCTAGCCTCTTAGCAGTGGCCACAGCTCCTACCTCACAGAGGAAAATTGCAGACAACAGCTGCATAACCAGGCCGTGACTCTTTTCTCTTTTCTACCCATCTCAGAGTTTGTTCCTCTACTAAATTCTTCTTAGTTTCAAAAGCAGATTCCCTACCCTCTCTTGCAATATTTTGTTTCATAAATTGTTTTCTCAAAGATCATATTTCAATCTTACCTTCCTTCTGCCTATAAAACCATTAGCCTTATCTAATCTAAAACATACAAATAAAACAATTTAACTCAACTCTGTACCCACATCATAGTTCTGTACCCACTTCATAGGGGTTCACAGGAACCACTCTGTTCCTCTGCTCCCTCTCTCCTCTTTCACAGCCAAACTCCACAGAAGAATGGTCTTCAATCTCCAGCTACGTTTCTTGATATTCCAGTTTCTCCCCAATCTCCAGCTACTTTCCTCACATCTCAGTTTCCCACATTTCCCTGGCAAAGCTCATCCACGACTTTCCTATTGCTAAATCCCTTAAAGTCCTTTTAGTTCTCACATTAAATTATCTATGTTTTTGCTATGGATAACTTGCAACTCCTGTTTTTTTTTGAGACGGAGTCTCGCTCTGTCGCCCAGGCTGGAGTGCAGTGGTGCAATCTTGGCTCACTGCAAGCTCCGCCTCCCGAATTCATGCCATTCTCCTGCCTCAGCCTCCTGAGTAGCTGGGACTGCAGGCACCCGCCACCACGCCCGGCTAATTTTTTGTATTTTTAGTAGAGACGGGGTTTCACTGTGTTAGCCAGGATAGTCTCCATCTCCTGTCCTCATGATCCACCCGCCTCAGCCTCCCAAAATGCTAGGATTACAGCATGAGCCACCGTGCCTGGCCTGGTGCCTGCTTTTTAAATGTTGGTGTTTCTTTTTGTATTACTCTAAAAGTTTTCCCTGGGAAATTGTGCTGGTAACTTTTAGATCTACATGTCCTTCTCTACCTTTTCAGACAACTAGTCCAAATCCTTCCCCACATATCCAATTGCCTATTCTTCTCTCCATCTTGAAGTCCCAGAGAAATGAATCTCAACAGAAGCAGAGTTCATCTTTCTCTCAAAACTTCCTCCTCAGTCTTTTGTCCTTATTTTAACAAATGTCATCATTACTTTCATCCCAATCGTTTTCTGCCTTCCATATTTTAATCTAGTCTGTTCCCTCTGCTGAGATTACCCTTTTGTCCCACTTGTCTGCCTATGAATGCTCCCTCAACTTCAAGCTTGAGAATCACCTCCTTCATGGAGCACTACCAGCCTGGCCAGGTAAAAGTGACCACTGCTGGCTGCCTGCTACCACCCTTAAAGAGATACCTCAAACAGTATGTGTAGCACTGAATTATGAAGGAGGAGCATGTTTTACGGAGAAAGAAGAGCACATGGAAAAGCCCTATGATAAGCAGGAATTTGGGTGGGCTTTTGAGGGACCACAAGAAGCTCTGTGGCTGGGGCACTGGGCCAAAGGGACAGTGGCATGAAACCAGCTAAGATTGTTGGAAATTTGAGGGATGGTGGAAAAAACAAATGGAGAAGAGAGGTGGGGTGCCAGCCATGCAGGAGCTTGCAGGCCATGCTAAGGCTTTCTCCATGCTATTCTAACTACCATGGGAAGCCAAGGACATTTCTAAAGCTGGGAGTGACAGAATCCAATGTAGATTTTAAAATGACCTCTCCAGCTGCATTGTGAATAGATTTCAGAGAAGCAAGGTTGTTAAAGAGGTGACTAGTTAGGAAGTCATTACAATAATCCAGCCAGAAAATGATGGTCACTTAGTGTGGAGTAGTAGTAGTAGGGATGACAGAGAGCATAGTCAAAATTTTTGTCAAACTTTCTCGTACATGCAAACAAATGAGACTATGTTGCTTGATTAAACTAATAATCAGTTTCAGGATGTTCCATGGTCATTACTGGCTGCATCCTGTGACCATCTGGAGACCAGAATGACCAGCCAAGCCCTATGTCTTTGCACACACACAAAAACAATTTTTACGGAATTAATTGGCATGCTCCACAAAGTTTGCTGTGTTCTTTGAACTCTCCTGACCTTGGGAAAATGCTTTTCCCACAGAAAACTTTTCAGCCAATTGAGCTTGGACTCTTCTTAAAGGTCACATGGACTCTTGTATTGGAAATACTATTTGTACATTTCTATTTCCTTTGTTAGTTCCGGAGTCTACGTTCCTCTCATAGAGCAAACAAAGGCTAAAGGAAGATGAATGAAGAAAAGAAATGAAGGACATATTGGAAATAAACTTCCTGAAGAAACCACATGGGAAACAAATGCCACTAAAACTACTAGGTAGAAATAATAGCTATATGCCAGATACAGCAATAAAAAATTGGTAATCACATATAGACAATTTTCATGAGATCTGTGTTCCTAGGAACAGAGTGATAGGTAGTGTCAGAAGATAAAATTACAATAAATTCAGTTTAAAGATTTCAAATGGCTTAGTTGTGATTCTAGAATCAGGCAACACTCCATCCCATAAAATAGAATAAGTGTTCCAATGAGTTGGGCTGAGGAGGTTGGCTTTATAGATAGAAAATGAGCTGAAGAAGGCAGACAAAAAGAACAAAAAGAGATAGATCATTTCAAAGTTACTTTCCTTGTAAGACAAGGACAGGGACATAGAATAATAGAGAGATAACTAATTGGTTAACACCAGTTTACTTCAGATCACTCTTTAACATAAGGATTAAAACAAGAGGAACTTCATCATCATGCCAATTGAAGATTGCAACAGACCTGTTAGAAAAATTAAGCTATTTGTCCCTCTTGATTTCATGGAAGACCAGATAGTAACTCAGTTTTAATTTGGTGAGTGTGGGTGACTCCATTTGTCATTTCTAGTCTAATCTGCTGGGGCCTAGTGCAGGAGTTAATGACCTCCTCTGTTTGTTTAACAATTTCCCTCTTTTGATGAGGTTCTCCCCCAGATGAGAGTGTGATCAAAACTAAAGGCATTGGCTGGGTGCAGTGGCTCATGCCTGTAATCCCAGCACTTTGGGAGGCCAAGACAGGCAGATCACCTGATGTCAGGAGTTTGAGACCAGCCTGGCCAACATGGTAAAACCCCATCTCTACTAAAAATACAAGAAATTAGCCAGGCATGGTGGCGGGCACCTGTAATCCCAGCTACTTGGGAGGCTGAGGCAGGAGAAACACTTGAACCCGGGAGACTGAGGCTGCAGTGAGCTGAGATCACGCCACTGCATTCCAGCCTGGGCAACAAGAGCAAGACTCCATCACAAAACAATGAAAATTTAAAATTTAAAAAAAAAATTTTTAAATCAAAACGAAAGATATTAGCACTACTCTTAGTTACCATCATTCTGGGTTTCCATTCTCAAACTGTCATTGGTAGGTTACAGTGTTCTCATGAAAATGCATTTCTTTGGGCTGAAGGAAAGCCATTTGATATTTGACAGATAGCTGTTTGCAAAAAGTTAAAACTTTTTAAGATGACATAATGCACCAGGGAGACTATTTGTATAACTATTAGGAAGATATTACCAAGAGTTTGGAGTATGCTCCTAAGCCAGGGTCTTGATGAATTGAACCACCTAAAATTGAATAAATCAAAGAATGAATCAGATGAGGAATCTACCCATTTTAACCAAGTAGCCTGATCATTAACTTTTTGCAACTGAATGTCCACAATACCCTATGTATTTATCTATGTGCAACAAGAAGTGTCATCAACTGCACAGATTCCTCCCTGTTCAGTAAATAGTAGGCAGCAATTCTATCATCTAGCAACACAGGAAAATGTCAAATTAAAGCAGAGAGTACTAACTCTGTAAAAGAGACCACTAGTACAATTTGAACAAACATCATGTTAGGAATGTTGCTAATGTTACCCGTTAGGTATACTCAAAGATCTCTTAAGTCCTGTAAAGGTTTAGGTTTGAGCCAGGCATGGTGGTGCATTCCTAAATTCCCAGCTACTCAGGAGGCTGAGGTGGAAGGATTGCTTGTGCCCAGTTCAAGGTTGTAATGTGCCATGATTATGCCTGTGAATAGCCACTGCACTCCAGCCTGGGCAACATAGCAAAACCCTACTTCTTTTTTTTTTTTTTTTAAAAAAAAAAAAAGGATTTGACATGACAGATCCAATGCTTTGTTAAGTTACTCACAAAAACTACTGACTGAAATTCTAACTACAGCATTATCCTGTCAAGTCAAAGAGGTAAGCATAAATAACGAAAAATTAAGAAGGGTAAGAATTGTCTGAGCTCAGGCATTTTAGACTAGCCTGGGCAACATGGTGAGGCCCCATCTTTACAAAATATAAAAGAAAAAAATTATTAAAGAAAAATAAGAAGGGTAAGAGTCTTACTATGATATGGAGTCTTGTTCCTCTGGTTTTGTGATAAGCTATCCACAGCATGAAGTCAGCGACTTATCCTAGTTTGCAGTTTGAGTATCTTCAGTTGTGGCATCAGACATTCTGACAAACTATCTATGTGGCTCAAACATCAGGCATGAGACTTGTCCCTTGGAATGTATATTGAATCGTCCAACTTTGGCTATAGGGTTTCAGGAACAGAGCAGTTCTTATTCTTTGTTGAAGAGTTGTACCCAGATGCTAGAGGAAACTAGAAAGAATTTGGAATCCAGTCTACAGATAGATCATAAAAATTCAAAAGCAATAAACAGGTCTACAATCAAATAACAGATGTACTGTACTTTTATTCTGACACATAATTTTTCTCTCTACAGTCACCCCCGTTTTTATTAAAGATAATCATGGTAAGACCAATACGTTTGTAAAATAAGTTTAGCCTCAAACTTGGCCTGATATTTACATAAGTATAGCAAGAATAGCCACATAAGCTCACTCCTTTTAAATTTGCTTTGCTGTAAATTTTCACAAGGAAGCTAAATTTGGACTTTTAAAAACCTCTTGACACTAGGAAGTCAAACCAAAGCAGATATCAGACTTTGCCTACAGTAATATCTTGTAATATCTTGATGTTCTCTGGCCTGCCAAGAAGTGACAACTTTTTACTCACTCTCTGAAGGGTTGGGAACTCCTGAAGCCAGGCATTCTATGCACATTTTCAAATATGACATTCCAGTCAAAGCCTTAGTAATAATATATTCAATATTTCAACTGTATCTTGTTAAAGGATACAGTTAAATTCTTATTGAACTTATGTAAATACTCATGTTTGACATAAAAATAAGAATACTCACCAATGGTTTCTGAACTTTGGAGAGATCAAGTAGGGAAGAAAAGCAAATGTTTCCATTTTATGTACAAAAGAATACTTTATCAAATTGCTGTAAGCTGTACATAGCTGAAAAGAAAAAGAAATTCCTTAAATTTGAAAAACAAAACATAAAAAGAACCAGCATTGGCTCAAATTTTTAAAAGCCATAAAACCTCATATGTTGTCTTCATCAGTTAATTCAGTCTAATGTAATTAATGTTTGCTCTGTTTAATCTTGGTTAGCAGCTTCACAAACCCATCAGTTTTTGTTGTTATTGTTGCTGTTGTTGTTTTGAGACAGAGACTCTCTCTGTTGCTGACGTTGGAGTGCAGTGGTGCTATTTCGGCTTACTGCAACCTCTGCCTCCTGAGTTCAAGCAATTCTTGTACCTCAACCCCCCAAGTAGCTGGGATTACAGCGCCACCACACCAGCCTAATTTTTGTATTTTTTTCAGTAGAGACAGGGTTTCGCCATGTTGTCCATCCAGGCTGGTCATGAACTCCTGACCTCAAGTGATCTGCCCACCTCAGCCTCCCAAAGTGCTTGGATTACAGGTGTGAGCCACCATGCCCAACCCCATGTTTTTTCACTAGAGTTTTAGAAATTCTTACCCAGTTTAATAATATCTCAGTTATCAGAAACCTGAACTTGTCAGAATTCTTTCCATTCTTTTCATGAACCTCCTTGAAGATACAATGCTATAAGAGTATAGTTGCTTGCAAAAAGCTTTCAGAAAAGCATCAGAACAAAGCAATTAACTGCAGGCAACAAGACATAAAATGGCCATGGTTCAAAATCTGATGAGAGTCTGTAGTGACCCACTTGACACGGAAATTTGTTTTTTCCTGTGGTGTACAAAATTGGAACATAATAACCAAAATTATGACTTATAACATCATAATTTTTGAAATCTCCTACAATTTTGGAGCATATATTAATAATATATCCATACAAATATAACTCAAAGAAGGTTAAACATTTCTTATTTGACAATATTTCTCATATAATTTAATGTATGAAATAAGCCTACTTCAGTTTAATACTTCTTTTATACATCATTTGAAAAGTTCTAGAACCCTGTGGAACATCTCCAAGTTAGTTCAAGGTTAAAAAGACTTAAATTGAGAATTTGATTTGGGGAAGTCTGTAAAAATAAAGGTTTCAAATGCTTGATCAAAAATAGGATCACACGGCCAGGCACGGTGGCTCACTCCTGTAATCCCAGCATTTTGGGAGGCCGAGGTGGGCAGATCACTTGAAGTCAGGAGTTTCAGACCAGCCTGACCAACATGGCAAAATCTCATCTCTACAAAAAATACAAAAATTAGCTGGGCATGGCGACACACACGTATGGTCCCAGCTATTTGGGAGACTGAGGCAGGAAAATTGCTTGAGCCCAGGAGGCAGAGGTTTCAGTGAGCTGAGATGGCACAACTCAGCCTGGGGGACAGAGAGAGACTCTGTCTTTAAATAAATAAATACATAAATATATGAAACTTTGAATATTTTCCAATTCTGAATCTGACAAGTCATTCTGAACTCCATTTTCCAATTCCATGGCCTTTCTATAACTAAAACCACTTCCGTGTTTCCTTTTCTTTTTTTCTTCACATAACGTAATTGTGTACTGGTAATGTCTAACAGACAACTCTTCCAGGTAAAACAACAACAACAACAAACCCTGATTTATTGTGTTCACCCATTTCTGTGGTATAACTACTCCTGTTTACCATGACTGATTTCAAATTATCAATATGACGTCACTAAATGTGGAGTTGGAAAGACACGCTCTTAACTGGTTCTCATAAATCAGTTTACGGAAGCTCTAGCACACCATTGATATAACATACCTCTTTGCATCCCACTACAAGGCATACAGAATTTGGTCTGTGAAAAATTTTTCTTTAACTGTTTAAGGCAGCTTTTGGGGTTGTAGTTGAGGAGATTGGACATAAGATATTTAGATCTGGAATCTAGTTAATAAATAAGACAACTGCTAAGGTACAGTTAATAGTGTTAATAATAATGATAATTTTCTACCTCAAAGGAAAGAACTAAAATTTTATTTGAATTAAAAATTCCTAATATCTAAATTCCCCAATATACATTCTAAATTGATAATAAACTATTATTTTTCATTGGAAGTAAAGGCCTTATGAAATTTTATTCTTGGCATTCGTGTACAGAAATACTGGCCAGTTTTCTATCAGCTGGCCAGCGTACGATTAATATAAAAGTTTTATAGACATAGCAATATTTAACTATAATGACTTTGGGTTTTTTTTTTTTTTTTTTGGTCAAAGGAGAAAACTGTGTTTTTCTTGACTATAACATAAAATAAATTATTTTTAAATTTTTCACAAAATCCCCAACAAGAGTTTTAACAATCCTGGTAAACTAGGTTTAGAAATAGCAACATTTTAAACCTCCAAAATATTATGCAATACATTAAGTCCACCTCATGTTTATAAATTACACATGAAATCATATGAGCAAACAACATTTTTGCCATTACCCAGATATGCTATGACTTTACAATTGTATAGTCCCTGTATAAGCCAGAGAGAGAGTAGATAGTGAATAGTGGCCTTCGACCACACATAACTTGTTTAGTTATACATGCACACACATGCATGCGTGCAAGCTCTTTTGGGATTTTGATTAGGATCAAAATCAGTTTGGAGAAAATGATATTTTTATAGTGTTGAGTCTTCCAGTTCATGAACATGACGTATCCCTCTGTTGATTTTGGCCTATAAAAACTTCTCTTAATAATATTTGATATATTTATGCATAAGGATCTTGCACATGGCCAGGTGCAGTGGTTCAGGCCTGTAATCCCAGCACTTTGGGAGGCCGAAGTGGATGAATTACTTGAGGTCAGGAGTTCAAGACCAACCTGACCAACATGGTGAAACACCATCTCCACTAAAAATTCAAATGTTAGCCAGGCATGGTGGTGTGCGCCGTAGTCCCAGTTACTCGAGAAACTGAGACAAGAGAATCACTTGAACCCAGGAGGCAGAGGCTGCAGTAAGCTGAGATCATGTCATGGCACTCCAGCCTGGACAATAGAGCAAGACTCCATCTCAAAATAAATAAATAAATAAAAAGACCTTGCACATCTTGATTGGCTCTAGGCATTTTAAATTTTTATGATGTTGTGAATTTTATATTTTCAAACTTGTATTTTGTAAATGCTGCTGATGTGTAAATACAACTGATGCGTTCTCTGGGTCATTTTAGATGCCTTTTGCAGATTAGGAAAGTTCTTATCCATTTCTTTTTCTTTATTTTTTTTGAGATGGTGTCACCTCTGTCACCCAGGTTGGAGTACAGTGGTGTGAGCTCGGCTCACTGTAACCGCCACCTCCTAGACTCAAGTGATCCTCCCACCTCAGCCTCCTAAGTAGCTGGGACCACAGGTGCATGCCACCATGCTCAGCTAATTTTTTGTATTTTTGATAGAGATGGGGTTTCACCATGTTATCCAGGCTGATCTCGAACTCTTGAGCTCAAGCAACCCACATGCCTCAGCCTGCCAAAGTGCTGGGATTAGATAAGTAGCACACCTGGTGCTTATCTATTTCTAATTTGCTAGAAGTTGAATTTAAATCATGTATGAGTATTGAAATTATTATTATTATTTTTATTTATTTATTTATTTTTTTGAGACGAAGTCTCGCTGTGTCACCCAGGCTGGAGGGCGGTGGCGCAATCTCGGCTCATGGCAAGGTCCGCCGCCTGGGTTCATGCCATTCTCCTGCCTCAGCCTCCCCAGTAGCTGGGACTACAGGCACCCACCACCACACCTGGCTAATGTTTTGTATTTTTAGTAGAGACGAGGTTTCACTGTGTTAGCCAGGATGGTCTCGATCTCCTGACCTCGTGATCTGCCTGCCTCGGCCTCCCAAAGTGCTGGGATTACAGGAGTGAGCCACCACACCCAGCCCCGAGTATTGAAATTATTAAAAGATATTTCTGCATCTTTTGAGATGAAATCATTTTTCTCTTTTATTCTGCAAGTGTGATGAATTACATTGGTTAATTTTCAAAAGTTAAGTCAATTTACATTTCTTTAATAAACCCCACTTGAATGTAATATATATATATGCTTACATGGTAGTGTTGTGTATTTTAATTCTACTCACATATTTGTCAAGAACTATGAAAGACATGAGATTTTACTCCACTTGCAAGCTAGCAAGTTAGCCTGCCATAATTTCAGGGATGCAGGCAGAAGCTACAACATTCCTGAGTCAAAGATGAAGGACATTATTACTCATGGCACCGGAAGAAATGTGAGCTTTGTGTTTGTGTCAATTCTCCTCACCCCCCAAAGCCCACTGGGGTGACATGGAGTAGTCCAGGTAGATACTAGGCACATAGTGCATTTGAATCATAACTAAGAAATCCTGAGCGGGCAAACTTACTCTGCTTTGAAGGGAGACACTATCTCTACCGCAAAGCTCCTTGCTGTACAAACATTCATTAAAAATACTCTGAAATGAAACTTTCAGTGCCCTTGCTCACAAATCATGCAGAGAGGCCTATAAAGAATTGTCTTCCAATAATATTTAAATTACACAAGGTATGATCATTATTATATTTAATCAACTTTCATTTAGATATACCCACATATTTACCTTTCTCATTGCTCTTCTTTCTTTCTTGAATAGTTGATCTTCCATTAGGAATGATTTTCCTTCTGGCCAAAGAAGTATTTTCTTTATTGTGGGTCTGCTAGAGATCAATTATATCAGTTTTTGCTTAAAAAACAAATGTCATTATTTCGTCTTCATTCTTGGAGGATATTTTCCCTGTGTATAAACTATAGGTTATCTTCTTTGGGTTCTTTGGAAATATCATCCCATTGTTTTCTGGCTTTCATTGTTTCTTTTGAAAAGTAATATGTCAAACTGTTTTCCTTGAAAGTAATCTGTCTTTTCTCTTCTGGCTGCTTTTAAAATTTACTTTATTATTGTTATTTACATCAGCTTTACAATGATGAGCCTAGGTATGAATTTCTTTTTATTTATCCTTATGAATTATTGAATATAGGTTTATTGTTCTTTATCAACTTTGGAAGATTCTTAGCCATTATTTTCTCAAATATTATTTCTGCCCTATTTCACTCTCTTCTACTTCCTGGATTCCACATGTATATCATGTTTTCTCACTGTAATCTCATCATTTCTCTCTCTTTTCTGTCTGCCATTCATTGTGATTTATGGTTTTCTGCATATTTTCTTCTGTCCTGCCATTCAGATCATAGATTCTTTCTTCAATGATGTTTAGTCTGCTGTTAAATCCATATATTTTGTTCTTAATTTTAGTTACTGCATTTGCAAATTCTAGCTTTTCTATTTGATCCTTTTTCAATTTACCATGGTTTAATATTTTTAGCTCTCAGCTATAATTCCAAATCTTGTCTTTTATCTCTTTGAATGTAAGAAAGCATAGCTTTTAAAATCAATGTTTTGGGACCCTAATTTTTGGAGTCCTTGCAAGACTGTTTTTAGTTATTTTTCATGAAGTTCTGTCTTCTTAGGGTCTTGGTTATTTTCTATTGTACATCAGAACTTATATTTTTAAAATTGTATGTTGACATAATTTGAGGTCTAGCACATTGTTAACTTTACCCAGGAAAAAGTTTGCATTTGGGGCATTGGGGATCTCTAGCAACCTGAAAACGCTTAAGATAATTTCAGTGATAAAAGTAATTTGGAACTGGGCTACAGTCTTTCAGAGAGCCAGTTGGCTTCTACTTCACCCTTATTCCTGGCTATAGTTCTTTGGAGTAACAATCTTATGTGCAAAGAGTTTGGTAAGCTTCCACTTGGGAAGGACTTTTATACCCCAGATACCTTTTCTGGGATTTTCAAATGTCTCTAGGAGAAAAGTGGCCTCAATCATAATGCACAAGTCTCTTGATTTTTATTTTTTCCAAATCCTGAAGTAATTATGCCCTACTTCTTTAGCTTTCAGATACCTTCAAATGGATTTTCCCCTTATCTTTTCTATTAAAACTCAGTAGGAGGTTTGGTCTGAATTAATAGTTTGCCACTACTGGAAATGAACATCCCTGTTACTTAGTTTTTATTGTTGTTATTGTTGTTGTTAATCTCCAGATACTAAATTCTGATGTATAGTCATTGTTGAAGAACATAGAGTGGAAACAAGGTGTCCGGTAACATTACTCGTCCCCCACCTAAGCCACATACACTTACCACCACTATCACCACCACCACCACAACTGTAACAACAGATGTCATTACTCTTCAGGATTCTAGTCAAGGCATTCAGCAGTCGGGCCCATAGGTCAGCAGTAACAGTTGATTGAGACTGACAGGATTGGAATGGGAAGTGAAAGGGGGTGCCGAGGGGAGCAGAATAGACAGAAATTGGGTAATTTTCTGGGGCATGTGTTGGGTAAAGTGGTGGTTCCCACCTACAAACTTGTGCTGCTCTGCTAAGTTGTATCAGGAAAAAGGAAGAAAAACAAAAAACAGATGTACTTTTTCCTCTAGGAAGCCCAACTCCTCTTTACATAAAATTGTTTCCCTGGAGTAGCTTAACTCCACCACTAGGTCTCCAAAGATGGTGATGTTCCTTGCCACTTGGTGTCATTGATAAAGAGACTGACAATTAGAATTAGAATTTCCTCATTTGGTGGAAAAATCCATGCTTAGTACCATGTTATTTCAAGACTGCATGATAGAAGAATGATATTCACTTAAAAAAAAAAGGCCAATAAACTTTGCCTTTTAAATTCTTTCTGATGAGATATTAAACTCATATATGACCAAATTTCCAGTTTTCCATTTTAGGGACTGTCAATCAGGAGCAGCATTGAGGAGCTAAATGTGGTCACGTCTGCACTCCAGGCCTGCTAAAAATGTTTTAGCTTCCAAACAGACAGAGTGACTGTTTCGTCAGCATGCAGCTGAGGGGTGAATGAGGACAGCCAGGCTGGGTACACTGCCACAGTTGCCTGTGCATGTTCACCTCACGTCATAGGTTTTCTTTTACCCCTATGCGCTCCATCTTTCCCTCCTTTCTGCTTAACAAGCACTCATACATTCAAATTTAATTGTAACTTCTTTGTATATCTGTGTGTATACTTGGATGTGTTTTATATCTCTTTTTTAGAGATAAAGTTTATTAAAGGTAGAGATTGTGTCTTCTTTCCTTATAATTAAAGTGATCTGACCACAATAATGTGGATTATGGAGCAGTTAGTTAATCCCCTCAGCTAGACTGAACCGAATACTTTCATCATGTGCATGGAGAACTCTGTTAAGCTGGAGTTATCACTGAGCCACAGACATTTATTGAGCACCTTCCATGTATCTAGAACCATCCTAGATGTTGGAGAAAGAACACAAAAAGACTCAATCTTTACTTTCAATGTGATCACACCCTAATTATGAGTATACCTGTGTTGTAAGGAATAAGGCAGTGTAATGAGAGCCACAACCATATAAATAAGTAAAACCAACAACGATATTTGAAAACAGAGAAAACACAAACAATTCTTTTTAGAGGACTCCAAAAAGACTTCTGAGAAAAGATTACATATAAACTTTTGGTGATTACATGCCTTTCATGAGGGCAAACAGTAATAAAGAACTCCAAGTATGGAGAACAAGACATGTACAGATTAAAAGATGAGAGAGAGGACTATATATTTGGGGGTTAGGCTAGTGGGTTTCATGAAAAAACCATAGAAGAATAGTACGGGTAAGAGGTTTAATGCTTAACAAAATCTGTTGATATCTCCCAGTAATGTAAGTCCAGAAAATTCATCTTATTTCTATCCTGATAATTCTCAAAGCATCACCAAACTGGTTCCCAAACTAGCTCACAGCATGTCATTAACATGAAACAGCCTTTGAGCAGGGATGCTCAAGGAATCTGGGAATCAATTCTCCTAGTTTGAATCAGATTTGACATATTATAAATTCAAATGCAGTAGATGGGTTATAAACCATTTCACTGATTTCTTACTCATTTTTTTCTTTTCATTTCACAAATGTACACTTTCTAGATTCACTAGAGCCCCCAGGCACTCCTTGGTGACAGAAATAATGCTATATGTTCACTAATTCCTTTTCCTCAGCACACAAGACTATATTTCTTGGCCTCCTATAAGTTTATTTTTATTTTATTTTATTTTTTTGAGATAGATTCTCACTCTATGGCCCAGGCTGGAGTGCGGTGGCACAATCTTGGCTCACTGCAACCTCTGCCTTCCAGGTTCAAGCGATTCTCGGTGCCTCAGCCTCCTGAGTAGCTGGGACTACAGGTGTGCGTCATCACACCCTGCTAATTTTTGTATTTTTAGTAGAGATGAGGTTTCGCCATGTTGCCCAGGCTCGTCTCGGATTCCCGACCTGAAGTGATCTGCCAGCCTCCATCTCCCAAAAGTGCTGAGATTATAGGCATGAACCACCATGCATGGCCTATTGGCCTCATATAGAGTTAGACCGGGGCAAAAATCTGGCAATAAAACATAAGCGGAAGTGTGGCCTTGAAAACATCCTTCTTGATCCTACAATTTTTCCTACAGACACTTTTGTAATACCTTTGAAAGCTCAATATTCCAGGTAGTGGAAAGCTTGGAAGAGAGTCTCTGGGAAGACCTGACTATTCCATAAAGAACTGGGATGTGAACAAGAACTAAACACTGCTGTGTACGCCACTCATTGCCTGGAGTGGGGGTGGGATATAGCACATTGAAATCTACAAATTCTAGGGGGTCTAAAGCTTCGGATTTATGGTTTAGTACAAATGATAAAAGGCCAAGTGTGGTGGCTCACACCTGTAATACCAGCATTTTGGGAGGCCAAGGAGGGCAGATCAGGAGTTCGAGACCAGCGTAGCCAACATGGTGAAACCCCATTGCTAATAAAAATACAAAAAACAGCCAGGGTGTGGTGGTGGGCACCTGTAATCCCAGCTACTTGGAAGGTTGAGGCAGGAGAATCGCTTGAACTTGGGAAACAGAGGTTACAGTGAGCCAAGATTGCCCCACTGCACTCCAGCCTGAGCGACAGAGAGAGACTCCTTCTCAAAAAAAAAAAAAAAAAAAAAAAAAAAGATAAACATGAGGGCCTATTAACTACTGCAATTCTTATTTGAGACCCTCCTCCAACCAGAATTAAACCAAAATTAAAACGTAATTATACGAGGTGAATGGTAGGATGAGAAGGATAGATACATATGAAGAAAGCAATGAGTCCAACAATGCTCATCCTAAAATAGGAAGTCAATAGATGATACAGTTTGGCTCTGTGTCTCCACCCAAATCTCATCTCCAATTGTGATTTCCACGTGTTGAGGGAGGGACCTGTAATCCCCACGTGTTGAGGGAGGGAGGTGATAAGATCCTGGGGGCAGTTTCCCCCATCCTGTCCTAGTGATAGTGAGTGAGTTCTCATGATATCTATGGTTTTTAAGTGTTTGGAAGTTCCTCCTCACTCTTCTCTTTCCTGGCAACTTGTGAAGAAGGTGCCTGCTTCCCCTTCCACCATGATTTTAAGTTTCCTGAGGTCTCTCCAGTCATGCAGAAATGTGAGTCAATTGAACCTTTTCCTTTGTAAATTACCCAGTCTCAGGGGAGTTCTTTACAGCAGTGTGAAAATGGACTAATACAGTAGATGATGTCTAAAGCTGAAAAGTCACGAAGCCGCTATATAACCATATTATTTAGAAATAAGACATGGCAAGTCATGGTGGCTCATGCCTATAATCCCAACACTTTAGGGGGCTAAGGCAGGAGGATCACTTGAACCCAAGAGATCAAAAGCAGCCTGGGCAGCATAGTGAGACCCGTCTCTACAAAAAAAAAAAAAAAATTCTTTTTTAATTAGTCAGGTGTGGTGGTGCATGCCTGTAGTCCCAGCTACTTGGGAGACTGAAGCAGGAGGATTGCTGGAGCCTGGGAGGTCAGGGCTGCAGTGAACTGTGATTGCACCACTGCACTCCAGCCTGGAGAATAAAGTGAGACCCTGTCTCAAAAAAGAAAAGAAAATATGACCAAAAAACTCTCCCCCAACCTCAAAAAAAAAAAAAAAAAAAAAACTCCCACTGAGGCCAGACATGGTGACTTGTGCCTATAATCCCAGCACTTTGGGAGGCCAGGGTGGGAGGATCATTTGAGCCTAGAAGTTGAAGACCAGTCTGGACAACATAGTGAGACCTTGTCTCTATAAAAGCAATCTTTTAAATTCCACTGAAACAATTAGAAATTACTGCTTGGGTCCCTTGGTAGTCCCCTTTTCATGTAGAAATTCATATCCTTCAGTTCTGACAATGTTCTTGATTTACTTATTTGAATATTTTCTTCTATCCATTTTCTCTTATCTCCTTTTATGAATATTGTTTTCTTCTTAAAAAAAACTCCTCAGATTCCTATTACCATCTGAAATACCTGTTATTCAGATATTGAACTTCTTGCACTGGTCCTTTAGTCCTCTAAATCTTTTCTCTATGTAATTATCCTTCTCGTTGTCATTTCACTCTACCTTGTGAGAGATGTCCTCAATTTATACAGTTATCTTTCCACTCTTTTTGTTTGTTTGTTTTTGTTTTTGAGACAAAGTTTCACTGTTACCCAAGCTGGAGTGTAGTGGCACAATCACAGCTCACTGCAATCTTTAACTCCCAGGCTCAGGTGATCCTCTCATCTCAGCCTCCCGAGTAGCTGGGATTACACACATGTGCCACTATGCCCAGCTAATTTTTGCATTTTTTGTAGAGACAGGCTTTTACCATGTTGGCCAGGCTGGTCTCAAACTCCTGCCCTCAAGCGATCCACTCCTTCTCCTGCCCTTGACCTCCTGAAGTGCTGGAATTACAAGCATGAGCCACTATGCCCAGCCTTCAACTCTTCTATTGAATTTTTTTAAATATATATTCTTGTGATTTGAATATTGAGGATATCTTTCTTACTCTTTTTAGAGACAGACAGATAAATAGATGATAGATAGATGATAGATAGATAAATAGATGTTAGATAAAGAGATACATAGACAGATAGACAGATAGACAGACAGATAGATCATCAACCTGTTCTCTTTTATGGATACAGCATTCTCTCTTCTCTATCAGAGACACAAAAGTATTTCCATGTTCTCCTTCTGCCTGTATCCATCCCTTCAATGTTGTCTTAATCTACTTGTTGCCCTCTCTGTCTTTCACATCAGAGGATCCTCTCAGATGTTGAATGGCCTTGGATTCTCTAAGAGCAGGTGACTAGAAAGCTGATAGAGAGCTCTGAGCATCTTCTGGATGCACTACATTTAGGGGGTCCTTTACTCTTGGTGGGTGATATGGGTGGCCCATTTCTTTGAAGGAACTCTGATATCAGGATCTTTAGGTCTTCTTGACTCATCAGGTTCCCCAGAGATGACTTTTCCACTCTTCAGCCTAGAGAGAGTAGAGGCTGGAAGCAAACATTCTGGGAACTAAGGATAGGAAGACAAGCTGACTGCTCTTAGAATATATGTTAAAAATCACTTAATTCCACTGTTCTTGGCAGAGTAGCCCCTAGCTTCGATGTTGCCTAGTGTCTTCCATTTCCAATATTCTCTTTCGAATAAACCTGCAATATTTTGTCCTTGTTGTGCCTGCACTTGATCCACTATACAGAGCA